CTATCTACCGATATATATATGTATATATACATATATATATATATATATATATATGCATTCATATAGGGCTTGATGATACAGGGTTTCCGCTTGAGATATAGTGTTGACAATTTACCTGTATTGTACATGAAAAAGAAACAAAATGAAACCCTACCTTCGCATTTACATCCTTCTCTATCTTTATTTCAGGAATTGCAACTGACGAGCTATCCGTGCTACGGGTGAACTCTGCGTTGCTGTTGTGAGACATTATTTCTTGCTTGCTAATTGTTACTTAATTGTTTATATTTAATCCAAGCCAGACTATATTTTGTGTCAGTCGTGGTGATTCATCAGCCTGTATTTGCTTGTCAGCTCAAAATTGGTGCGTTGCGAATATGATAAAGATGTATGTTAATATTGCCTTTTTATTCACATGTGTGAGAGTGACTGTTATATTACGTACTATGTAGCTGGCGGCGTTGTTTGTTCTCGGCGTCCACCTTTGGCATAAACCACCACAGGTGTATGCTATGAGAGGAGGGCATAAATCTTTTATATTTATAGAGCTATCTATTCAACATCGATGTCCCTATGGCTATGCAGCTATGGCCTCTAAAATTCCTTTGATGGGGCTATGGCCTATGTTACTCCAAACCCTGGGGCCTGGGCTTAACAGTTGAAATGGCTCACGAACCCAAACATTTGTGCCGCCAAAACCTAAAAGACGAATTTATTACATAAGGGTATTTAACGTAAAATTTCGCTTTGACTATGAGGCATGAGCACTAAAAAAAACACTTTTTCTACGGCTACACCACCAATAAACACACTCTAATCACATGTATGTGGGCAATCGGGAGGTAATATCACATCACTGCACCTGCAATGAACAGTCTTTAGACCACCATATATGAAATCGCTTGTTGAAGTATGCGTGAGAGGATGGAAAACTCAATGATCACTCTTTAGTGTACACAGTGGGAGGTGTGGTGCATCTCAACGCTTCATCTCCGATATGCAAACTTTAGTCACATGTGTGTGGAGCATTTTGGGTCATGTTTGGGAAGTCATATGCTGGGGTTGCTACGGAAATACCAGGAGCCACAGGTAAGGGCCTTTCGAGCAGTTCCAAATTCTTCGTGTGTTGACCTGCCAATTTTCCTCACTTCAAATTGGCACGAGTATGGTATTAACTATTTACCTAATTTAAAGCTGGTCTTTTGTGATATTCGTATATATACAGAGGAAGCACATTATTTTATTTTAGTTATACCCGTTTACACTAGTGGGTAATAATATTGTGCCTTATACACAATTAAAGACATGCGGGCACAGCCTGGCGAAGGAACATCTCTCTATCTTCTTATATATGCGTTGTACGATTTTTGTCGTTGCTTCCAGTATAAAATATATATAATAAGTCGATCTCGTCACTCAATACATAAAGAGTTTAAACACTCAAAGCATCGATGGATTCTGCGCCCTCGTCCATATCATCGTCATCCTTGTTGGCAATGTCATCCATGTTGGTTGGGGCTTGAATGCGTGCAGATGCCTGGGGCAGTAGCACTGGCGGTGGGTCGTGTATGCTAACCGTAGCCATGCTCTTCTGCTTTCGCTCTTGCATGATTTTATCAGCCATCGCTTCACCACCCTCCATGTGAGGGTTGTGGATCTGCAAGCGAAGTAGGTAGATTTATTTTGTTTGAGTTCAGCGCTCTCATGAAGTGGTCCGGTCACCCGATAATCTGCAAGACAAGACAACGACAAGCATACCCTGAGGATAATATGTACAACATACCATAGTGAGCACTTCAGACAGCCTCGTGTTCTCGTTTACCAGACGTCCCACCTCGGCCCTAAGCTTGCGCACTTCGTTGTGGGCTTGGGTGCCACTGACAGTCTTGTCAGACATTGACGCATTGCTCACTGCCGCCGCGGCTGATGCTGCACGAATGGGTGCACGCGATGAGTTCATGGTGGACACAACGTCACCCTTGCCCTTACGGATTGCCTGTGGATTGTGTAGGTGTAAGGTTATATAGATGAATACTCGTGGAGAGTGATAAATCACAAATGTTACGCGACAAAACTAGCACAATGCTCACTTTGTATGCAGCTTGAGACACTTATAGTGCGCATATACAATGAGTTTGTGCTGTGATTTGCAGGTGTATAGATCAACATGTCTGACACACACGGCACAAACATGATGCTATTGATTTGATACATACCTGTATCTTCGGCACGAACATCATGAGCAGCATGATGGTGAGCGGTAGCCAGGTGTACAAGAACAACATGATCAACTGGGTGTTGACACTGCTCGGTAGAATGAAGAGCAGCACAATGGCGACTATCTCCACCACCAGCCAATTGTACACTGAGACCGAGATAAGGGTGGCTTCGTTGAAGGATGATGGGGCGTTGCGTACTTTGAAGGCCAATATAGCAGCCCACACCAGAACAATACCTTGCAAACCCAGCCCTACATACATGCCTGGGGTCTCCAGGTCGCACTCCTCCCACAGACTCTGTTCTTCGGTTCTGATCACCAATTGGAGTGTGTCAAAGACTGTGAATAGTATGGCAAAGAGCACAAACACGCCAACCATAGGCAGGAACCAGTTCCGCAACAAGCGGTGGTCGTGCAGTTTGGTTTTGGTGACACTCTTGAACACCTGGTCCACACGATGAGTCTTCACCAGGAGAGACACAAAGGCCACCGACCAGCCCATAAACAGGAACCATGACCAAGCAGTGCACTCCCACTCCTCTAGATTATCAAAGATAAGGAAGAACGGAGACGCGTACATAAGAGCTGACCCAGCCAGCATGAGCTGTAGGAAGAACGGTGCTGCGGAGCGCACTATGAGCACCGAGGATTTTATCTGCACACCAATGATTCCCACAAGGCACCCGATAACGCCCAGGCCACACAGCACGCCAACTATGATGCGCAGAGTGGCGTCGGGATGGATTGGAACACGCACTGGGAAGCCAGTCTTTTCGATGTCGTACGACATTTGCGACACTGTCTGTGGTGTAGATGCATCCGGATTGTTTTGTTCATTGACGCGGGCATAGAACGACGTGCTTCTCAGATGGTTGTCACTGTACTTTACACGTCCGAACCATGTGTTGACGTCGAGTTCACTAGCACCCAAGGAATCGCATGTAGGTAGGCTCGCGCCAGAAATCGAAGAACAGGGTGTGTTGATGCCGTTGCGAATGCACTCGGTGAGGCCAGCACCAGAAGTATCGCAGTTGGCTCGAACCATAGCCAGCTGCAGTGTTTGAATCGCATTCATTGTCGACACTGTCCGAGCATAAAGTGAAGAAAGTAATGTACGTATGAGAGGTTGGCGTATAGCTCTGGGCGCCCTACAGAGGTACCGAGCGTTTAGTGTTAACTGAGGACAAACATAGAGTTTAAGTGCTGTATGCAATCGTTGAATCTTTGAAACATCTAGGCTGTATAGTTGTAGACGATAACTGCAAAACTCAATCTCACCAACGAATAGACCGGAGATATGTACCTGACAAACTAATTTGAACTCGGAGTCCGAATCTCGGCTCGAAGTAATCCCCGGATAGTTGTTGGAGATACGATATATTCCCAAGGAATTCGGCTTTCGGATCTATGTCTGATTCAAAGTCATCCTCGAATGCGACAGGAACGATCATGCCTGGATAAAGCTGGCGAGGAACATTTCCCGAGGGGAGACCGAACAGCCACAACATCGAGTCCGCTCCCAGTCGAAGATCATGAATAATTTCCATAGTACGGGTAGAGTTGCCCGTACTCGAAGTGGCAATCACGATGCAATCTGTGCCACCACGCATGAAATGCAAGTCGGCGACAATGTGAGTGTTTGTGAGCGACACCGTTTCGTATGAACTTTTGTTGATACTTGAAACACAATTGCTGCACCACCGGTAATACTTTTATATACCTCTCAATAAGAATGCGTGCTCTTTACCTGGTACGTTATTCGTGAATCCGTTGACTTTTCTGTGAACGTTTTGCTCTTCATAGATTTTATCCACTACTTCAGCGTATGCATTAGGGTCCGGGATATGACCACCATTGGCTTGCGGAATGAGAACAATCGCGTCATTCGGGTCGTTTAGTGGGACCCAATCATGAGTATCCTTCCTTTCTTCCAAATAGCTTCGCATGACACGACTGTGTACGTTACCAAGACTCTCATCATCCTCTGTTGAATAGTCGAAGGAAAAAAATCAATCTACCATGTAGTAGGACGACATAAAACTGATGTATTTTGGTCGAATATATATATGTGCACGCCCTTCGATTTAGACTCAGACTCATTCTATACACATAGTAATCGGACGTCACTTCGTATACAATACGCGCAAGATTACTACCCATACGGCGCCTTCACCACCAAAGCTTATTTAGAACCAGAATATAAATGAGATACCCCTCAATATAGATACAAAGGATTGAACAGTACCTAAAATGAAGCCCACCGTCCTTGCTCCTCTTTCATACATTTCGTCTAGATAATCACCAACTTGATCTTGCGAACTGAGGTAGGGTCCGAAAAGATTAGGAAATGCCAGCTCGTCGTATACGCTTGGGTCGGAAGTGATCATAGTCATAAGTATTTTATCAACGACAGCCGAGTTGAGAGTTCTATTCAGCCTCTCTGCTGATTTGGCTCGGAGCGTATCGTTGAACATTGCATCTCTAGCTTTGACAGCTTGTTTGGACGTTGGCTGTGCAACCCATACGTCACACTCCGTGTCAACATCGTCCACACGTTTCACTAAATTATCATATTCTAGGTCTTCGCGTAGCTCTGTATTTAAAGTCGCATTCGTGGCATCAAATGTAGCTTGTCCATTCCCAGCCTCTCTATACCCGGTATCAACATATCTGAATGTAGGCTGGAAAGTCGTAGCTCCTACCGTCCATTCCAGTAGCCCATTGTCAAATGAATCTTGCACGAAATCCATTGTGTACTATGTACCAACAAAATTGAATAAAGAGGATATTCTGATTATTTGAATATAATCCCTGTTTCTGCAAGGGAATCGATCTCATAACCAGTAAAAGATCACTCAGATGTTAATATGTAGCTCATTCACACCCGAACTGAAACATACCACCACAGTGGTATCTTATGTGTGGAATGGAAAGTGAACGTAACTGCGCAACAGCCCAACGCTGAATGACAAGATCGCGTCTGTGAAATATACAGCACCCATCATGGACGGTAGACTTTTTCGACACATAAAACAGCTTCCATTCGTGTATTGACACAAATTAGCGACTTACATAATATTCGCGCCAGTCAATCAATAACCAACACAAACAATATTACTTTCACTCCAAATACCTTATAAAGTGAATCCAGAGAGTAGGTTGCGCTTCCAATATCGTCACTTAAAACACATATTGTGATGTTCTGCACAGTCTGAGCTAGAGATACATGCACTAGGCTCAAGGAGCCTAGCAAAGTTGCACACCGTATGAACGCTATAACCTTCATTCTATGACGCGTTATAATGAGAAGCAAACGTATTAACCGTAGTATGTTTCAATTGAGTTTCGAAGCATAAAGTCTTTTACACACTCAACAATGAAGTGTACATTAACAGCGGTACGGCTCTTATCGCACTTGCGTAGAAAAAAACGATGGCAACTTTCGCACTAGTTGCAAAATCTCTATTTTTTTCTACTTTTTTTTTTAATAGTGGGTGGTATAATAATATTAAAAAGGGGCGTATAAAAAATTTATTAAAAAGAAAAACAAAACGGCAACGCGCTCTTTTGGCTTTTTGGGCGCGTTGTTAAACCCTCATATAATTTATTTACAATTTATTTACATCACTTGCAGAATGCAGATTGTAGACTGCAAACAGTGCAGAGTGCAGAGTTGCAGACTCAGGCGGCTCACTCAGCAGACTGCAGAGTGCAGAGTGCAGACTTTTGCAGTCGGCCAGTCGTACTCGTCAGTCATCCACCGACGGCGACCACCGATCATCATTCATCTGCTCTCTCTTTTCGTCTGGTGGCACCGGCAGAAAAGCACTTTTACGGCAACCGCGAAAGCAAAGGTAAATATTACGCGTTGCTGTCTCAGAAGCCAATCGATCGATGGAAAAAAAAGGATAAGAGTAAACAAATGAGCACGCGGCATTTTGATATTTGTTTCTGATATATATGTATTTATGGATTTTAATTTTTCACGTTCATTGTCCCGGACCCTCAGCGACAGTCACACTCTAGAGTAAATAGTGACTCTCTCTAGTAGAGAGAGTCAGACCTCAGCCACTTGTTTCTTGAAAAAATGGTTGACCAGAACTGGTTCAAACCTTGAACCTACGGGTCAACCTCTATAGTAAAATTCCCCGTCTTCAAAAAAATCTACTCATTTTGTTGTCAACCCCAATGAGAAAAGTGAAAAGTGAAAAGTGAAAAGTGAAAAATAGTAAAAAACCTCAGAACTGAAAGGCCAAAAAAAAAAATGAGCATTGAGCGGAGTCAGAGTGCTCAATTTTGAATTTTGAATTTTCAAAGGGCCCAAATGACCAACTCCCACACACAACAAGATGATCCAGAGACCCAGACTACTCCCAAGTCCCAGACCTTCAATAAGAATGTACATTCTACATATCTATTTACTCATAGCGTTCTAAAATCATTTTTTTTACGGCCATGATTGTTGATTTACTAAGACGGAAAATATAAATTTAGAATGTATGTATGAACCAGCTTTGCCCTCTGGATTTCAAGATTTGGGTCAGGGCTAAATTTACGATTTCCGTAACGACAGAAACCTGATTTCTGCTCTACAAAAAACAAAAAAGGCTCTGAAAAGAGGGGGCAACGGTAATTTTCAATTTCGGGTTTTTGTAGCCCTATTTTGTTTTGCGAAAGCGCGCCCCATGGATAATTTTTGGTTGTTGTTGTTCTGGGGGGGGGGTTTTGACTGTTCGTTTTCCTTTACGATAATTTTTAATTTTGGGTTTTCGTACCCTTGTTTCTTTTGGGAAAACGCGCCTCATGGTTTTAAAAGTGCAGCTTGAATTTTGGGACACGTTTCGGTCCCGATTTCCAAAAAAAAAATGTTTGTTGTTTGGTGGGGGGGGGAGGGGGGGAAGCCCCCAATAACCGAATCTCTTCTACTGCTGGCATCACATCGTGTTTCTTGTATTTCTATATTCATGAATAGGGTCTCAAATGGGCTTAAAAAGCTTCACTTTATTCCTTATTTGGAATGAATAAAGTTCTGAGTGACCTAATAGCTAAAGCTCCTAGTGATAAATAGAAGGCTCAAGGCTATGTAGCATGTGCAGTATTTATGCACACGCGATGAGTTGATGACGAGGGCCCCGGGGGGCCCAAAGGTTGAGGTCTTCCGAAGTTCCGAGGACTCGAGGACTCAACAATTGAGTCTTTTGTTCCAAAAATCAAAATCTTTCTACAAAAGTCAAAACTCATACGTAATTAGTCAAAGTCAAAGATATTGTTTAAAACAAAAAAAAACCAAACAATAATATAAAGACTGTAAAATTTGCAGAAAATTTGCGCAAATTTTCTATTTGTGCTCCCTCCCCCCCCCCCCCATCAGAAATTCAGAATGAGAACAGAAGTCAGATGGACCGACTCCCTCTCTCTTTAGAGTTGACCAATGGAGGAGCAATGAATTAGAATAATATTTTTTTGTGCGAAATTTGTTCACAATTGTAGATTGTTGAGCTGGTCTCATTCGCTGACAAGGAACCATGCACAGTCCTTTTTTTTTTCAACATAAAAAGTGTTCTCATGTGTGTAAGATATTTGTTGTACAAAAAATATTTACTTCATCCTTCAGATCACAGTTCTGTGAGAGTTCTGAGTTCTGACGGTCTGTCGTCTGACCGACGCGAGTGACGATCGTCGAGTGCATACGACAGATGATGACTTACTATTGTTTTTAAATAAATAAATATATATATGTATAATATAGTGACGAGTATTCAGGCACAGGCGACTGTTGAGGCGTTCAGCTTGCAGAAGCCAGAACACCGCCAGCAGTCCGCCTCAGCGTGCTGACGGGCAGTGACGGCCCCACCCCTCACGTCATGAAAGAACGACAAAATAATTTTTTTTGGGGCGGTGCAAGCACTGCAAGGATTGTATATTTTTATATAAAAAAGTGAAAATAAAATACAAAATATCAGGCAGCTAGCTTGCGCCTCTCTAATATAGAGTATTTAGAGAGCTGAGAGCGGCTATTATAACCAACCTTAAATATAAATAGTTTCACAGTACATAGCGACTAGCGAGTATTACATATAAGTGCTCCGTTTCGCCTTAGTGTAATATAGGGAATGCAATAAACAACAATATAATATGTTTGATTATGATGATTCAATCTTTCTTAATACCTCATTATAACATCTGTTTGACCTAGAGTACTGACCGTGTGCCTAAACATATTTCTATTCTTGCTGTCTTGTTTCGAAATTACTTGTTGCTCCAATACACACTCAGTGCTTATTACTTTAGCAGTTCTCGACTTTCGCGGTTGATTTCTAACTCGTGATGGTATAGGGTATTCTTATATGCTGTAACAACAAAAAGGTGCATCCACTTGACCAAGCTGGTATCGTATAGTCGGTAGCGGGTGCATGTGGGATACTTTTAGGGGGAATAATCGCCTGCCTACCCCGCTCTGTTTCTATATATTGATAATTATTATCATATTAAATGTTGTGTGTGTGTGTGCAATTGTGCGCGATTGCAAGTAGGCAGATGTGCTTGTGTGCAAGTGTACGTAACTATGTGTCATAACCCTATATATATATATATATATATATATATATATATTATTATATATATATCTATATACTATATATCTATATAT